TTCCCTCCCAAACCACAAACCCCCGCCCACCCCTGGGCTCCGGGCTCCTCTCTCTCCTTGACTCTTATACCATGTAATGCTTTACCTAGCTCCTTCTCAATGCGGATTTTCAGCCACACCCCTAATCTTTGGATAGGTAAGATTGCCGAAGCCTACTCTTATTTATATTAGTACCCCCAAGGGATCTTTAACGTGCGCACCTTGCACGGGGACTTCTGAGACCTTATCTACCTTAAAATCAGGGGTGTGACTGAAAGACAGCAGTAACAAGGAGCCAATTGGTAGCAGCAGAAAGGCTGCTGAAAATGTATGGAGCCCAGAGTAGGGGGCAAAAGGGAGAGGGGAAGGTGTGGGGGTAGGAAGTGGAGACGAAAGTAGATGACAGAATATGGTTAGAGAGCAGCAGGAAAGGAGGTAGAAAGAGAACATTTTAGAGAAGAAAATTTCCTGTCGCTGTCAGGTTTCGAACCTGGGACCTATTGAATGCAGGTCGAACACCGTAACTTCCAGACCCGATAGATATAATCGTAGCCAGTGTGAAAAACAAAACTCAGCCATGAAAGTGAGAATATGGCGTCGGTGGCTTAGTGGTTAAGCTCTCAGACTCGCAACCGAAAGGTCGTGAGTTCGAATCCCGTCATGGGAAGGGTACTTTACACGAATTTTCCTCATTTCACCCAGCTGGGAATGGATACCCAGCTACAGACAGTGAAGGATCTTGTCAGTGTGTTAGTGTTTAAGCGCTTAATCAACTGCTTGCACTGTATACTGCTCGGGAAGCTGAGAATGTTTCAGAGTGTCCTATGGTCTGCTGGGGTAATAATATAGTGTAAAGCGCATAGAGTTTGCTGTTGAGCGGGGATATGCTCTCCACAAAAGCTTATTATTATTATTATTATTATTATTATTATTATTATTATTATTATTATTATTATTATTATTATTATTATTATTATTATTATTATATCCTGAAGTCAGGTTCCTATGTAGGGAGGGATTTAGACTCCCAAGATGCACTGTTTGTAAAGTGCACGTTTGTGTGAAGTTACATTTTCTGACAGCACTTTCTGATAACGTCAAAAGGGAATATTACCTATCCACTCAGAGGTTGTCAACTCAATGCTCCCAGATAAGATATTTCTGACAGGAATCTGATAGAAATCAACATCACTCTGAGTAGCCTAACCTTTAAGAACCGGGCTTTGAAATAGGGAAAGGATGTATGTACTTTGCTGACCCGTAAGATGAACTGAGAAAGATTTCAGACTGCCACTATAGGAGCTCATTCATGTCTGAAGGACTCAATGGAAGCCGTTAGGGTTATTGTCGAGACCCAATGTCCACTATTTCTGGTCCTATTGATAAACATAATTGGAGAATATTGTAAAACGGGCAAGTTTGGTGGAAAGAGAGGCAGAGGCAGATAGGGGGAAAAGATACTGGACAAGATGACAACATGGCTAGGAGCAGCAAGAATAACAGCCGCCATTGCTGCAACGCAAGACAGAGTGACGTGGAGGTCCATGATCGCCCACGCCAGTCGGCAAGGCACCGGGTGATGATGATTGATAAACATAGTGTCAACAAACGAAGTGCACTTTTGTT